CATGTTTCTTTATCATTTAATTCAGGTTCTATAATTTCATTTTCAGAAATAATTGGTATAGCTATATGAAGGTATTGCATTTTTCGTTCATATGTCTTGGCCTCTTTTATTTTATGAGCTTGTAGAATATCACTCCTAATTTGGCTCATTGCAAAACTTTTTTTGACTATTTTATGCAAATTCAATAATATATAGTAAAATTTAGTTTGTATTTATATTAATATAGCACATATATGTACATACCTCTAGCCGATTTCTTAAGTTTGTATGCAATAGCCCTATCAATAACCACAAACATTCTACAGAGGCTGAATTAATGCAGATGCTATGAATGCGAATAGCAACTTTTGCTAATTCAAGGCCTATATCACTAGTTGATTTCCAGAAATCTATTAAATTTCCTTTAAATTGCTTAAAAGAATCTATATTATATGGATCTATTTTTCACTTATATTTAATTAATTTGACTAGAATTGAAACAGGTTTAGACTCAAACCAAGCTTTATAGTAATACTTTAACCACTACCCGATATGAGTCCATAAAAGATCTCTAACTGACTCATGAAACTGTGATAGCTTATAAATAGAATGTAATACAAATGAAAAAATTAATAATGGTTGCTCCTATTCTTTCCAACAGGATTCTATACGTGTAATCATTTTTAAGCTAAATTCAATATTTGAGTGATTGCTTAATAATTTTATTGCATATACAAAGCAATGAAGAACTTCATGAATATGTGCTGTATCTTTTTGCAATTTATTTAGAAATCCACAAAGTGGATGTAATATATCTTGAAGCTCAAATAATACTGACCAAAATTCTGAATCACTAATTATATCAGCAACATTATCAGGTAATTTGCGGTTGCCACTTTGAGTAATTGATTTATTATTGGCTGGTTGATTTGGAACACCATTTGTTCAAGTTATATTTGCACAATAATCATTAAATTTTGCTGAAATAAATTTAAGTGCAGCTTGTGATTTTAGTATTGAATGAAACCAAAAATAATAAGAGTTCTATCTAGTATTTGCGGATTCAATTAAATTAATAGTTTTTTTGTAAATTCTCATTTGTTTACTATGAAGATTTCCTGTAAAAAAAACTGATCAGCAAAAAAAACTAACGAGACGTATTGCTTCCTTTAAAACTCTTTTATATAATTCAGATTCTTTAAAAATTTCTCCAAAAAGAAAATTCATTTGATGTGCCATGCAAGGCAAAAATATTTTTGAAGTATATTTTCTTCACAAATGATGTTGTGCAGCTGTATATTCCCCTGCTGAGTCAAAAACAAGTGCTTTAATATTAATATTTTTAAGACTAGCTTCATCAATTAAATTTTTAATATGTCGTATAATATCTTCAGTTTTAGATCGTTCAATACTTGTATCATACGCATTCTATATTAATAGCTGCCCTAGTGTAGTTATAAATACTACTCCTAATATATATTTCTGCTTCATATTTGTCCACCCATCCAATACTGCAGTTACTCTGTCCATATCACTGCTTGCTATTTTAATAATATCATTAAAAATGTTTGCGTACTTTTAATTAATACTTTATCACTTATAACTTTTCTTTTTGGCAATTCAAGTCCTGAAGCAATAAACTGGAATAATTCTAATGTTTCTTAATTTTCAACAAAAGTAAATAGTAAAGCATTTGAAAAGATTATCTGAAGTAAAAGTTTTTCAAAATGCGATCTATCATTAGATGACAAAGGATGACACAAAAATTTGGTTATTAATTGATTAGGACTTGATGTGGAAGAACCTGATCGTGCGGTTGTAAAAGTTGT